CTAGAAATACACAACCTACCAAGATGGAATCATGAAGGAACAGAGAATATGAACAGACTAAGACTAAGTCAGAGGATTGAATCAAAAATCAAAAACCTTGCAACAAAGAAAGGCTTGAATCTGATGGCTTTGTTGGTGAACACTTTATTATACTGTGAAGTAATACTAGCCCTTTAAAAACTTCCAAAAAACTAGAAGAGGGGCAGCATTGCCAGTCTCGTCCTATGAGGTCAAGAACACTGTCAGGAAAACTGCACACCAGTACCCATGATGAACATAAATGCAGAAATACTCAGCCAAGATGTAGCGAAAGGAATCCAAGAGCTCATTAAAGGGATTGTCTACTATAATAAAGTGGGCATAACTCTTGAATGCAACATAGCTCCACTTATGCATATCAACAAATGTGAAACTGCATGTTAACAGAACGAAGGATAAAAGTCACATTCATTGGTTCTTCACCGTGTTCTTCAGTAGTGGGTCTGAGGAAGGTCACATAGAGACGTGCAAGCATTAGGGAATTTGGGGAGTAGTGAAAACTCCTTTTTACTAACTTCTGAGGTTAAATAAAGTTGGCATGGTCTTTGCCTTTTGTTACTTTACTGATGCCCTACATCCAATCTCAACAAATGTCATTGGGTGACTCTCAAAACAGGTTCAGAATCAGAGGGCTTATCACTTCACTGCTGCAGTCTTGCCCAAGCAAGCTGTCATCATCACCCCTGGCCTGGAATCCCACCTGGGCCTTTCAGCTGGCATCTCCTTCTCTTGCTGCTGTAAAACCCATCCTCATATTTTCACCAGATGTAGTTTTTAAAATGAAAGTCAGATGGTGTCACTCTTCTGAAACTACAAAGCCCACCTTTTTCACTCACAGTGAAGCCAAGTTCCTATCAAAGGCCTGTAGGTTCTCATCTGATCTGAGGCTCACATCTCTGACTTCCTGTCTTCTGTCCACTTTTTCTTTCCAGTGCAGGAACTGTGTCCTTGAATTTACTGTTAGAAATGAAAGGAAAAAAAAAAGAACAAAAAAGATTGGAGAGGGCCTGTGGGGCTTACAGAACACTGACAAGGGAACCAGCATGTATCAGAAGCAGCACTGACAAGAAGAAAGCAGATTCCAGCAGGCCACCCACATTCCGCCCGGAGGCCTCATGCCTGCTCTGTACTTTACCTTGGACTACAGTTATTTTCTCTCAAATGCCCACACTGTATATTACCTATTTTCCTTTATATATACTCAAGTGCAGCCTGACTTAATAGAGAAACAGTGCCTTAATCTATTGGTGCAAATCATTCTGACCCCCAGATGTGTCCTTTCCATTCACTATGTCTCACCATGCTAGATTAAATGTTTACTTTTAAAAGGAGGTGTTTAGCTCTTCAGCCACAGGATAGTCCCATGAAAGTGGGTATTTGGTGCATTACTATTTATATTCGGAGTGTTCAGTGCCCTTTTGTGGGAGACTTTCAGTAGGGATTAAATGAACCATAATAAAATCATAGGGAGTTATAACTGGGTGGTTGCCACTACATTTGGAAAAATTACTCTGGCTGTAGTACTAAAAACGAATTTAAGAGAATCAAGGGTTGATCTAGGAGTTCTCTGGGTGTTTGTCATCCAGTGGATGAATGTTTGAATTGTTGCTGATATCATTACCTTTGTAGCTTCTTAACATGTATGTTGAAAAGTCTCACTTTTTGCACACTAGACTCTGTGAGCCAGGTAACGTGTGTTTGCTGATTCTCTCAGCATTTTCTCATTCTGCGCTGTTATCTGCAGCTACTTACTGTGCTTTCAACGAGGTAGACTTGCTGGGCTCGGGTGACCGAGGGAGTCTGTGGTAAAGGCCAGTTACAACCAAAAATGCTGAGAATCTGATTCTTAAGTCACCCATATTCACCAGTGTGGGTATATCTTGCTACCTGTAATTACCAAGACAATGTAGTACCTCAGTGCCATAGTGCAAAACAAGCCTCCCAGGGTCTCAGATCCCAACCTGCAGGGTGCCAGCAAGTTGGACCCTACAGATGGTTTGTCTCTTTGGAAGACAGGAATCAGTTCATGCTGCTACCACCACTAATATTTTGAAGATCATACATCTTTGTATGGTGTAGGCTCCAGTTAGCCTAGATTGTATTCAGTGATTGTCAGCTTTACAGTGGTGTGATGGTAGCTTTAACAACAGCATTGCTGTTCATATGCTGTAAAATGCAAAACAGAGATCAGGTGGCTTCGAATTTTAAAATATAATGATGTTCTTTACTGTGAGAGTAGATTCTCTTTTGCTAGAAGCGTGATAAAAATGTGAATGTATAAATGAAAAAAATGATTGCAATAAAAGATACATTGCCATTAATCCTTGGAATGCTCAAAATATTCTTTCTCGCTTCAAACACATTTACACTATAGTTTTTGGCAATGTGTCCTTTACTTTAGTAGGTTTTTAAAATTTCAAATATTCTTCATACTTTTTGATCACCTTTGTATAATGACTGAGGCATTTTAATCCTTAGGATTCCTGTAAGAGTGTTTTATCTTAACAGAATATTGCTAATGTAAATTAACTTTTAGAAAGTATTTACTTCTCACTGTCTCTTAGAAATGAATTGTGCTAGAATTAGTGCCAATCTGCTCTCATCCCAGGAATGGGATGTTGATTTAACATTTGAAAACCAATCAGTGTAATACCATATTAAGTCACACACACACAAAAACACTATATATGATCATTTCAGTAGGCACAGAAAAATAATTTGATATCATATCAAAATGAGATCATGTTAAAATATAGAAGTAAGTGTATTATTTGAACCCATAAAACTTCTAGAAGAAAAAAGTAGAGAAAACTTTGTAAACTTGAGTTAGGTAAAAATATCTAATCTAATTCATAGAGGGAAAAAGTGATAAATTGGAATATGTCAAAATTAAATAGTTTTCTTGAGACACAAGAAAGTGATTCGAAGAAAGGCAAAGCTCAGCCTGGCAGAAAATAATTTAAGTCACAATATGTTAACCTATGGAAGTTAACCTATGTTAACCTATAAAGAATTCTTAAAAATAAAGAAACCATTGTGCCAGAGTGGGCAAACGTTTAAATTATGCAGTTTACCAAAGAAGAAGGCAGAGGGAAAATACGCACATGAAAGAGCTCAGCATTATTATTCATTAAGGAAATACAAGTGGAAAGCCTGTACCACTGCTGTATATCCACTAAAATCTAAAATTTAGAAGACTGGCCGTAGAAAGTGATGGCAAGTATACATGACCACTGAAATTCTTTGTAATACTTGTGGGTGTGCAAAGTGGTACAACCACTTCAGAAAACAGTTTGTATGGTTTGAACTGTCAATAGGCACACACCAGGTGACCCAGGCATGCTCACCCTTGGGATTCCTACAAGAGAAACGAAGCATTTATACACACAGTACCTTGAGCATGAATGTTACAACAACTTTATTGGTCATGACTCAAAGCTGGAAGTGATCCAGATAGCTTTCAACAGTTGAATGGGTAAAGGAGTACTGGTATTCCCACACGATAAAGCACTACCCGGCAGGTTTTTAAAAAAATGAATTGTTGTAGTCAGGGGTTGTACACAGAGAACAACTAGGATTAGGACGTGGAGTTTATAATATTTTTATAATGGTCACCAGGAGTTAACACAGGAAATTGCAGGAAATCTATCTGCAACACCAAAGACATAGATTATTTAATCAAGAGCCTAAACCCCACGACAGTGTCCTACATGAGTCCAGATAAAAACCCAGAGCTCAGGCCAGTGCCTCCCCTGAGTCAAACTGGAGGTCCAGAGCCCACAAGAAGGACTCATGCCAGTCTCTTTTACGGATCTGTGCCGGGAAGACCCAAGGGTCAGTGGTGGAAGCCAGAAAGTCTATGCCAGCAGGATGAAGGAGCTGTGCTAGTGGGATGAAGGTTCTATGCTGGAGCTGAAAAGTCACACTCACAACAAAGACCAGGACTGAAGGCACCACAGCTATCCTCAGCGACACAGAGGACCCGAGCTCCTCCTCCGACAAGCACAGTTGGGTACATGCCAGGAAGCAGCGTGACGAGTTCATCCTGAAGACCAAGCAGCACATGTCTTCCTCTTCGGAGCCAGGAAGCAATGCTCGATGTGAAGAGCTAAGCTTCTCCAGGAGAACCACCAGCTCAGATAGCAACTTGTAGGAGAACCCACAATGCCTCCTTAATGCCTCCACCCTCAACACCTCCCTTCTTCTCCACCTATTTATCCTGGCAATCCTCCTCAGGTGGAGCATCTTCACTCAATGCATAAGTTGACCACCAGTTCTCAATCTATAACATGAATCATTGGTACATGAAACAATATGAATACACCTTAAAATAATTATGCTAACAGTAGCTGGCTAAAAGAGAATGTATATTGTATGATTCCATTTTAATGAAATTCTTGACAATATAAACTAATATATATTGGCAAAAATCAAAGAAATGGTTGCCTGGTGGTGAGGGGCAGATCTGTGTTGCAGATGACAGTACACCCTCAACTCTCTGGCTTGAGAACAACAAGCATTCATCTGTTATTTGATTCCTACACGGTTGCCTCCTTGCTGTGCCCTCACATGGGGTGGATACAGGAGCTCTCTACAGTCTCTGATGAGGTTACCTATCTCGTTCTGGGACTCCATCCTCATGACCCAGGCTCCTCCTGAGGCCCCACCTCCTGATTCCATAATAGCAGCAGCCAGGCTCTCACCACATAAACTGGCGGTGGTTCAGAAGCATTCAGTGTGTAGAAGATAGAATTAAAAAGCAGAGTTAGAACAGTTTACAAAATATTTATGAGCTTGAAGAATGAGCATCACATGCAATTGGAAAAAAGCAAATGCTGGGTTCTTGTAGTTGTCTCGTCCATTTTTGTACCTTAAATTTATGCAGTTGGATGCTGTTGCTGCCTTTTGAGTATTGTGCTTTGGCTTTGCTCTCCCTGGACATGAAGCCACTGTCATCTCAGGTACTAAAGCAGCCAGCCAGACCCAGGAGGAAGTCCAGCGAGGTGTGGAGGCCTGGCTCGCTCTTGGGAACCAGAGGCCTCCCCTGAGGACTGTTTCAGTGAGTGACAGCCCGGCAAGCCACCTGTATGTGGGGAACAAGATACACACAGCCTCCTTCTTTGGTGAGCACTGTTCCATTGTAGTTGTTCTACCTGTTTTCTGTTTTTACTTAGAAGACTGATAATTATGAGTGATAATTATAAGATAAACACCATTTGTATTATTATTATTATTAGAGGTTTTTCAATTAACAAAGGTCAGATTAATGTCTTACTATTTTCTTCAGATTTTTTAGACCGTATAATCAGTTCAGTGTGATTTCACATAGGATGGGAAATGTATAGGAACACATCACACCTCTAGGGCCTATATGTGTTACGTTTGTTCTCACCAAAGAGTAAACCTCACTGTTTTACTCTGTCCAAATTGGCCTAATATCTGTGGTTGAAATAGTTGTGTTCTCTTCAGATCTACTAACAGTAGGTTAGGTCGTCAAAGTGAGTCATGTTGGCATCTCAGATATCAGTCAGAAATGCATGCAAGTTATGAGATAATACCTGAAAAGTCTGTCCTTGGAGTACACAGAGTCTTGTCTTTGGAGAGGGTTTTCTTTCCAGAGGACAGGAGCATAGGTGATCAGACACACTATAATACACCATTCCTGAGATGCTGCATCTTGGTTAGTCCAATGACTTTCTCTCTTTATTTTTCCCCCAGGTATCTGCAGCAAGCTCATTCTGAAACCTAAGAAGGGACTCAGGAAGAACTTTTGGGTATAACTAATCAGTTAAACATGGATCCCAAAGTCAGTGGTATATTAGTTCAGTTACCACTTCCAGGTACATACTATTCTGTGTATGTCAGCTGGTTAGGAGAAAGGGCATCTTTCAATATAATACAACACAGAAGGAATTTGTAAAATATATTCAGGAGGGGACTACCTGTTATACTAGTAATGGGGCAGTAAGCGAAAATTCCAAATGCTTTATGCTTAAAGTGATGAAAAACTACGAAATCAGATTTGGGTACTGACCACACATGCCTTCTTGCTTTACATAGTGGTGATGACCATTAAAATGACCTTAGTCAGTGGAAACAGAAACAATTTTCTGTGCCGTTCAACATTTTTATCAAAGATTAGGAATTCTCTCATTGTAGATTTCAAATGTATAATAAAGTAAAAAGTAAACTAGTATTTATTTAATACACTATACTTCAAAGCAGTAAAAACACAGAGAGTTAAAAAGTGATTGTTTTGGGGGCTGGGGATTTAGCTCAGCGGCATAAGCACCTGCCTTGCAAGCAGGTGGTCGTGAGTTCAATCCCCAGTACCGATAAAAAGAGAGAGAAAAAAAAAAAGTGATTGTTTTGCAAAAGCACTTACTCATGCAGGTTGAATAGTGCCTGCCTTCGTATCCTCATACGGCCTGGGATGTGTAGGAAGCATCTTTTCAGTCCCATGGAGACTTGAACTGTCACCTTCTTCTGGAAGGTGTCACCTTCGCACTTTCAGTGCCATGAAATAATACCACGCTGTGAGAGCATGTCCTTGGGACACTGATTCCTCTTGTAGCCAGTCTCAGTGAGGACAGGTGGTCTTCACTGTTTTGCTGGGTGGATAACTGTGTCTCCGAAAAGGCACAGAGGCAGGACCCATGGTGCGTGGTGCTGCTCTTGTTCAGTGTAAAGCTGGTTGATGCAGCTTCCCTTGCTTGCGTGTTCATCAGTCTTTTTCGTCACGGTTCGTCCCTTTGTTCCACGCAGGCCAGCGTCTGCTGTCTTTGCTCTTCCCTCACCATCCTTCCAACCTGCTATCAGTGTACATTTCACATCCAGTGTGAGCATGGTTTGTGTCTTTGCTGTACTTTCGTCTTCATAAGCTAATCCTGTCTGTCAGTGCCCCACCCTGTAAGGCGCCATGGGGAGTCACCTGCTTGCAGGAAGTGGCGGCCCCACAGGCTGCTGTCCTAGTTTGAAGTGAATAGCAAACAAACAGTCTGTGAGAGAACAGCCACGATTGGTCACTGGTCGGGGCACACCTCTTTGTTCATAGGGTAACACGTGGCCTGTGGAAGTGACAACTCTGACATAATGCAGTTAACACAGCTCGACATCTCAAATTTGAACTGTGTTTTCAGAGAACTGATGTTACTGAACTAAACCGTGATTCTGAAATTTGTGTGTTTTAAACTGCAAAGCGAGGGCTTCTAGGATAGTATAGGTTAAGTAGTTTTGAGTTCTATAAGTTTTGATCAATAATTACATAATATTCAGAAAGTAAAGCTGTGCATTGATTTCCACAGGCTTCATATAGTAGCAGCTTTTTCCTCTTTCCATTGTTAAAACATAATACCTAATTCTATTATAAATTTGCTATGTAAATCATATTAAAAAATCATGTTTCTAGTTCTTTTCCTGCACTGTATTTCAACTTAAAATGATTGGATTAGAAGGCCCCTAGAAGGGACCTCTCCAGAAAGTCTTGGGAACATTTGGCAATTGTTTGGCTTATGCCAAAAAAAAAAAAAAAAAAAAAAAAAAAAAAAAAAAAAAAAACAAAACTTAAGTTTTGCTATTGTGTTGCCAAACAGTCATCTTATAGTCTGTAGGTTTTGGAACTTCCATTTCTTGCACATTTACAAGATTCAAACAATTTTCTAAGATGTGTTACAATGTTAATTCTTAAAATTTCCATGCTACTCAGTGATCTATGGATTTATTATAATCCCTATCAGAATTCCAGTGTTTTTTTTTTTTTTTAACAGAAATAGACAATACAATCCCAATAGGCACCTGGAACCACAAAACACCCCCACATAGCCACCCGATTGGATCCTCAGCAAAAAGAACAAAGCTGGGGGAATCACTCTACCTGGTCTCAAAGCTATAGTAATGAAAACATCACAGTGCTGGCTCAAATAGAGACACGTACATCAGTGCAGCCGAACAGAGAGCCCTGGAATAAGCCCATGCTCAAGATCAGCGATTCTTGATGAAAGCACTAACACGACACAAGCAGACAATGATATTAGGCAAATTGGATACCCACATGCACAGGGATACAAATTATACAAGTGCCACACATTCTGCATATACCAATTAAAAATGCTTAAATTTGGATCTGCAACTGTAAACCAGGAGGGGAAAACTTACAGCGGAAATTCTTGATACTGGACTGGGCCAAAATCATAGGCAATAAAAGTGAGAGCAGACAAAAGGAATTGCATTAAACTGAAACACACATAGCATAGGAAGCAATCAACAGAGCGAAGATGAAACATACAGAATGGGAGAAAATATTTGTGACTCTGATAAGGGGTTAGTATGCAAAAAATATAAGGAGCTCAATTCAATAGCAAAAACATAGTCTGATTTTTACAATGTGCAAAGGGCTGAGTAGATATTTTCCAAAGAAGACATATCAATAATAAACACATACTAATGATTAGGGACAATCAAATTAAAACCATGGTGTTAATGGTACATAAAAAAGTGCTTAACTACATCAGTATCAAGGAGATTTAAATTAAAACCATAGTGAGGCACTACGCAGTACAACCATGAAAGCAAAAAGTAAGTGTTGGCAAGGATGCGGAGGAAAGAGAACCTTTGTGCATTGCTGTGGAGGTTATAAACTAGTGCAGCAATTATCAGAAACAGTGTAGAGGTTTCTCACAAATTAAAACTAAAAGGGCTGTATCTTACAGCAGCTCCACTCTTGGGATATCTAACAGAAACAAAATGAGTTTGTCAGAGAAACATCTGTCATTTCATGTTTACTGCAGCATTATCCAGGGTGACAAAGGAAAGTGTCCACCAGCAAGTGAACAAATGAGGAAAATGTAGTACACACACAGCTGTGGATGCTCCTTTCCAACAGGAACTACATCCTGGCTTTGTGTCACGCTAAGTGAAACAAGTCAGGCGTGGGAGATAGATATGCAGGGTCTCACTCATGGGAGTCACACTGGAGGAACCAGATTGAGTGGTGGTCACCAGGGCCTGGGGACCAGGGTGCATGACATGTGTGTGTGGAGAGGTGGGCCAGGGCATGCAAAATTTTGGGTACACTTGATAAGTTCTGGAGAGCTGTTGTACAAAGTAGTGATTATAGTTGACCATATATTATATACTGCCTAAATCGATTTTTACATATTTTCACCACAAAAAAAAAAAAACATATTGGGGCTGGGAGTTTAGCTCAGCGGCATATGCACCTGCCTTACAAGCAGGCAGTCATGAGTTCGATCCCTGGTACCGATAAAAAGGAAAAAGGCCAAAAAAATAAATAAATAAACATATGGTATGTTGACTATGTTAGACTAATTTAAGCCATTTTATAATATAAACATGTTTCAAAATGTTCCGTTACCAAACATACATGTCATTTTTATCAATTAAAATATTTTAAAAATCAATTTCCCAAACTATTATACTTAGCTCATGAGAGATTTCTAACTACATTGAATTTGATTCATTTTATCAAAATCACATTTATATCTGTACAAATTACACCCCTATGGCATCTTTGTTATCTGTTTGCCTGTAGATGGCACTGGTGATCCGTCTGTACCAGAGACTTCTCTGGAATCCTGTTTCATTGCAGGGTAGGAAGCATAGAAGGACCACAACAAATGTTGGATGCTCTGAGAAAGGATAGGTTTCTATCTAGCTGAAGAGCTAATAGCATATATGCAAAGTGATAATGGCTAACGTTTATTACATTAAGAATTATGTTAGGTGCTGTACATTTATTAACTCCTTGAGTCCTCAGTAATCCTGTGGAGTTGGAGCTATTACTATATATATTTTCCTGATGCAGTATCAGAGACAATAGATAGCTAACTTTCTCCAAGATCACTGAACTTCTAAGTAATTAAGCTGGAATTTGAATCCAGGGTGATTGATCCTCGGGTCAGTGTCCCAAATCATTAATACTTTCCTTAGTGGGTCAGTATTAGCTGGGCCGAATGTGGATGCTAGAAAGGTGTGATTGTTTTGCAGTGGTCTAAGAGGCAGTATAAGGTGGTATAGATTCTGAACCAGGCTCTGGAGTCACATGGCCTGGGTTTGGGCCTCCGGGCTCTCATTTACTTACCAGTGATACTGGTTGATTTACTTAACTTCTTTGGGGGCATGGTTCCCCCACCAAATAAAAAACATAATTCCTATCACAAAGATTTATGTGAATTAAATCATAAGTATAAAGGAGGACTACCACATAGTCATAAATCTGAATTTCTAATTATTTCATGATTAGAAATATTATTTTTTAAAAATTAGAGCAGTGTCTTAAGGAAAACAAGTTTAGACTTACAGTTCTAACATCAGAAGACAGCTTTGCATCACGGTTAAACAAGAGTGTGTAAGTAGCTCCCACTTTCCCAGGGTAGAAGGAAGCAGAGGTAGAATTGTGTCTTCTGGACGGGTGCTGGCTGTGGTGCAGCTGCCGCTCTGGTTACATGAAGAGCTTGCAGCACTGGTGAGGACGGGCAGTGCTGGGATCTGCTGGGATCTGCCGGTGCCTCCCATCCACACCACTGTCCCATCACTGGTCCTCACACTGTAGCGGAAGAGGAAGACCCCAGGTAGATGTGTTCATAGCCTGTACTGACCGTGTGCATGTTCTGTCAGCGTCAGTCAGTGACTGTTCGGTCAAGATGAGAGAAAAGTCTGTTATTGATGTTGTTCTTCCTCCTAAGTAGGTATTTTATTTGCTTTTAACCTTTATTGAATTACGCCTGTTAAACTGATGTTATATTAGAAGTTAAATCTGCTATGGAATATGCATCTGTATAGTAAGTAACAAAAAATGGAATAATGATCTTTTAAAACTAAC